ATGTACGAGTTGGCGGGAAAACTCGAGGACGTCAACTTTCACCTCATCCGTCCATAGGAGCCAAATCACACCCGAAAAGCCTTGCACTTCCACACGGAAAGAGTTATCAAACCTGCTGCTGCGCACGAACTTATCTGCTTTCAGTCCGTCGATACGAGGTTCCAACACAGCAAGAACATCAGGTCTATATTGTTTATTAAGGGTTGAGAATACTCCCCGGAATTCGGGCGAGCCCGCACCCTGGACATTCCAAGAAATTATCTTCATGAGGAAACTAAGGGAGAGATGGGTAGTACCGATCATTGCTGCGCAAGGGGCTGGACACGATCACCCGGGGTCGCATCCATACTCACGTGCTCATCCGCACTCTCTAAGGCATTCCGGCGGGGAGGACCGTCCTCGGGCCATGGCTCGAGGTTCTCGTCCCCGACCTCGTCGTCATGCATACGGCAGTCGTCAATGGGGGACGACGCTGGAGTCTCTACAACTGTCACTGCCTTGTGTTTCATCGGGTCCAGGCCGACACCAGTAGGAACGGGGCGTGCACTTGAGAAGTTGATGGTTATGCCACCGTGCACATTCGCACTCGAACTAGTCATTTTGGACGGCCCCGCTCGAAAAAGGCTCTCCGTAGTCCCCTTAGTTACACTGATCGGCCGCTCTACGATGTTCAGACCCTTTCCACGTTCGTTGGCTGCTATAGTACTTTTACTGCCACCATTGTGCTTGCCAACGTTCTTTTTCCGACCAGTCACCGTGCGCCATCCCGTTCCTCTTTGATCACTACCAAAATCCCCGGATGGCGGGACTGTAAGACCTCCCTCGTGCAAGGGAGGAGGTTGTTCCTCCGTTCCCTCATTATCCAGAGGCCCGAGCGGGACCCAACCCCCCGGTCTGAGTGAGCGTATGACCGACGGGCCCGTTGTGGCACTTGGATCCATGGACCATAGGTCGGCTCATCCCCTATGGTAGTATCAGCAGAGCTAGAATCTTTAGTTGTATCAGGTACCTTCTCGGGATGACTAGACTTCCCTCCTTTACAGGCCTCCGGTGTTGGAGTAGCTGGCTTGTACAAACACCCATGGCTTGAGTGGCCTATCCGCCCACATTGGAAGTAAATGGTTGGGAGGCTCTCGTAGATTACCCATTGAACCCGGCCGTTGATCGAGAATTGAACACACAAAGGTTTGGTGAGGTCGACCATAACGGCTAACCGTGCATACTTCCATCGCGTGAGAGCAGCAGTCTGGTTATCAATTTTCACTTCCTTACCAACAATTTGACCCATTGTTCGAAAAACTTTCTTGTGGTAAAGGTGAGCCCGGGAGTCGGATCCAAGCCACCGTCGAAGTGAGTTCCTCCTTCATGGCATCGAATTCCATGGACCATGGTTGGACGTGCATGTAGCTACTGCCCACTACATAGGGACCTCCTGTAAGAACCTGGACTGCATCTTCAATCAACCGAAAGTGAACTAGATAGAAGCCATTCTCAAGATCCATCATCTTGCATCCCGCCATGGCTGGCCACATCTTAGTGAGACAGTTGTATAGAGACGCCATCGTCAAGATTCATCGAACGGCTTAATGACGACGACGTTCTTCCACTCATTATTGACTTGATCAAGAAAGCGCTTAGAGATCGTCACCTCTGGCAGTGGTCGAGA